CCATTTTCTGTGCACATTTAGTTACTTGCTTAAGGAAAATGGTATATCTGGTTAACCAAATTAGCAGATATGCTCTTCCTCTATCTGCCAGGAATGCCAAAGCGGGAAATCCAGGAGTCTTATATACTAAATTGTTTTTCTTTTGTTGTTCATGGTCTTAACTTGCATTCTTTGGTATGATGCTGGGGACCCTTTTTTTAGGGGTGGTTTTTTTCTTTGGGGGGGGCGTGGGTGGGTGGTTGGAATGTTTGAATTTTTCATTACAGGACACAAGCAAAAGAAACAAAAGGTCACACTACTTACTTTTATAGTCCGTTATGTAAAGCATGTTGATCTTGGATATTTACATGTGAAAATTGTAGCAGTTATGAATTTGCTGAAGTACACGAACAAAGAAATCTGTGATTGTCTTTACTACTGAGTTTGGTATCTTTGTTTGCTACAGTTCTCCACTTTCCTGCATTTGGGGTTCAACTCTGCGTTTTGATGTGTAGTTGTTGCTCACTGTGTCTTTTTTACAGTGTCATTCTTTTGCCAATAGCAATTACATTCTATATCACGTGGTGGTTTATCCATTTCGTTGATGGATTTTTCTCGCCCATCTATGCACAGCTTGGAATTGATATTTTTGGTAAGCATCTTGGCGAGATTATGTTATAGTTTTACCGATATTCTTAAAATTTAATTAACTAGGATTGGCTATGAACAATGCAGCTATTGAATTTCGGTCCTTTCCTACAGTAATCTTCAGTTTTTTCCTCCTTCTGAGATCAATTTTTGGTAATGGCAGTCTAGAGAATATTGATATAGTTATTGGATCTCCAATGCTTATGCATGCTCCTATTTTTCATTAGGCCTTGGATTTGTTACATCCATCACTTTCATTTTCTTGGTCGGAGTATTCATGTCCTCATGGTTGGGGGCATCTGTTTTGAGCCTTGGAGAATGGTTCATCAAGCGCATGCCCTTTGTTCGTCATATTTACAGTGCTTGCAAGCAAATTAGTGCTGCCATATCTCCAGGTGTTGTTATTAATCTTATGCTTCCTCTCCTCTCGACTTTGACAAAAATTTAATCATGACTAAGTTCACACTTTTACAGATCAAAACACCCAGGCATTCAAGGAAGTGGCCATCATACGGCATCCACGCATAGGTGAATATGCGTTTGGCTTCATCACTTCATCTGTCATTCTCCAGGTATGAAGAGCCTTGGATTCCTTGACTGTGCATTTTCACTTTCTGTTGGAGATCCATGGTTTACCAACCATGATCATGTGCACCGGAAAAACTTTTTTAACTATGAAAGTTTTTGCTGTTGCTTTCTTTGATGCTTTCGTAGCGAGTTGTGAGCTTGTTTTCTCTTGTTGATTTCCTGCCGTTACTACTATTGTTTTATTCCGCTGCTGTTGATAATGCTGCATCATGCTTCTGATTTCATCTGTTAGCTACTTATTAGCAACCTGGCTTCATACAATGCATGCTTTGTTTGTGTGTGTTTTTGGTTGTGGCTCAGGAAGTGTCCCATATTCTATTCTATATGTATGTTGATGCGTGATTTATAAATTGACTAAACAGTAAACTGACAAGCAAGATTCAACCTTGTTACTGCCACAACTAAGGAGTTATGCGTCAACTTTGCAATTAGATAGCCACATTATCTGCTATGAAGCTGAGAGCTTTGAGAATCTACTCTACCCATTTGTTGCCCCATCCCTTAGTTTGACATCCTAGTTTCACCTGAAGCTTCATAAACTGAGTTGGATAAAACCAGAACCGCCTCCTCCACTAAAATATCAAAGCTTGTTTTCTTGTGAGACTGGCAACTAAATGACTGTTCAGGTTATGTATACAAATGGGAAAGTTGTTGAGTACTTTTTTACATGCATAATGTTTGTATGTGCTCTGTAAAAACACATTAACGACTGAGTGTTTGTTGTAAATTGTCTGGGCATTATTTGAGAAAATTTCATTTGAGGCCTGATTTTCTTGAACCAGAATTATTCTGGAGAGGAAGAACTATGCTGTGTGTATGTCCCAACAAACCATCTCTACATTGGTGACATATTTCTGGTGAACTCCAATGAAGTTCTTAGGCCAAACTTGTCTGTCCGAGAAGGAATTGGTAAGAGATCCTTTCATATGTGAATATAGACTGCCAATCATTTGTATTGTTTACTTGTATGGATTGACATCCATATCAACTAACCCTAGTTCTTGACCTGGATTCTTGCTTTCGTGCTATCCTTATATAATGAGAAACAAGTTGTTCTTTTACTATCTCTTGAATGCTCATTGTGGGACTCGAATAATGCATGCCAACAAGTCTTCCTTTATGCTTGCAGAGATTGTTGTTTCTGGCGGAATGTCAATGCCACAGATCCTTTCGACATTGGATCCAAGAATAGTTCAAGTGGACAGGATTAGACCCGACAGAACTTGAGGCTGATGACCATAGCCGTGGCCAAGCTGCTGGTTCCTTCATATTTCAAGCTGCTGATATATTTGCCACACGACTCGATACCATAGGCATACTGAACTGCAATGGTTCTCCAATCATTTGCCTCGAAGTCTTATTATTGTTGTCACATATTGAGGATCCCAAAAGGTGAAAATGTAGGGCTATAGCTGTTGTGTAGAAATGCAGTTAGTTCCCAAGATAAATTCATTTTTTGTTTCATCTCCTTTCTCTTTCCATTAGCCGGAGTTTGTCCACACATATGGTGTCTACTGTCTTTTGAGCCCTGGTTTTCGCAACTCTTCATTTCCAGAATTGATGAATGAGATTTTGTACATACAGAAGGCAGAATTCTTCACGATTGTAGCACCTCTCATATTAACATACTGAATCTTACGCGAGTTTTGGTGAATGTTTCCATACATTACTTCAAGATAGTGTGTTAATCTATGTAATGTCCACAACGTGGCTTTGCTTAAGATGCAAATGGCTTGGTTAAGATACAGGTTCAATGCAAATTTGGGTCCCTCGGCTTTCAATTCTTAAATCCTGAAACTCTTGCGAGATTAGTGGATCCAGTTGTAGGGGTTAATAACACGACCCTTTCATGTCAATGGCCTGCAATTATTTTTTTTGGAGGTTGTTTTATTTTGATGTAAGAAGCTGATCGCCGGATTGACTGGAATGGTGATGGTCCAAGCGGTAAAAGTATTCAGTTTCGTCCTAAATATGACTTTTACTTATTTTAGTGTGTTTTCACCTAGTTTGTTGACGGATTCCAAAGTTGTACGGACGGATATGTGGAAATCGATTACAGTAGATTTTGGCTCCGTAACAGATGATCTAAATCATTATAGAAGTTTGCTAAGTCTACGGGGGGAGTTAAAAAGAGAAAGAGGGGGCATTATGAAAAGTTAGGAGGATGAAAAATAAATAAATAAATAACCTACACGGTCAAAAGACAACACCATCACCACGGCTTGAGATTCTCTGTCCTCAAAATAGTTCATGTCCTCCCTGTCCCTTTGTTGTACAGTTGCCACGTGTTTCTAGCATTTTGTTAATCCAAACTCAAATAAATTGATAATAATCGGTTTATAAGTTTTGTTAACCCAAATTTAGAGAACCAAATTCCAATTTATAATTCCAATATCTAGTATAAATACCCTTGCTACGTACGGTATTGACATTATTGAAAAAAATGAAAATAAATGGTGAATAAAAAAGATTAAAAAATTGTACCAACATAATTAAAATGTAATATCTGTCTAACAATAGTTTGAAATATGATAGAATGTGATTTTGATTTTTTGAGAATCAAATTCCAAAATTATCTGCTGGATAAAAATAAGAGAATAGTAATAAAATTTCAGCCACTCTTACTAAGTACACCTAAAAACCCTGCTAATACTTGAATAACCATGGTCTATCATGTTGGTTTGTAATATCAAACCCTTGCCAATTCACAATTCAAAATTTCTAAAGATGGTCAGTTTGTTTGAATTTGGGTTAACAAAACTTATAAACCAATTATTATCGGTTTATTTGATTTGGATTAACAAAAGACTAGAGACACATGACAGTTGTACAACAAAGGGACAGAGGGGACAAGGACTATTTTGGGGACAGAGGATTTGAAGCTGTTATACTAACAGGGGAAAAAGTAGGTAACTGGTACGCCTTTTTCTCTGATTCGTAACTGCTGAACAGATTGTCGAGTAGGACTGATTCAAACACTCTCTGTTCTTGAATTGCGAAGCGTGTTTAATCCAACTTTAAGTCCAACCTTAGTACAAGTCTCCATGCGATTTTTAGTATTGTGCTAAACCTAAACGCCTGTGTTCAGAGTCGAAGTACCCGGGCATTCAATTCTTGAAGAACGTATCCATTTACCCTCGCAGGAAGAGTGAAAAAACCTGCACCATCTTTGCTAGAGAATTAGGAAAAACGAGCTATGATATTGTAACTAATGGTACAACAAACATTTCATGATTCTGATTTACGGGATAACATGTTATCGTTTAGAAAACCTTGTATAAACTATTTCTTGAAATCGAAAGTGATCCTGCAAAAAATTGTACGATGTACAGAATTATTTTGCCTATTGTTCTTTAGGACGCAGGGATTCAATGATTCGAGACACCATCCATTGTAGGACTATAATTTCCAACACCACTTTTTATCTTTCCAATTATTTTTTTATCTCACATACATCATATCACAAAAAGTACTACAGTAAAAATATCTCTAATAATTCACAATCCAAACAAACCCAAGGTGTGTTGGAAATTGTAATGATGATGTAAGCAAATATATTTTGACAAATAAACTGCAATCCAAACAAACCTAATATCTAACCTTTTGAGCCACGGTCCTAATGACCAAAAGAACTTGAGTTTGTATATCATACGAAGAACCTACCCAATGAACGTGGCTCCGTGGAGTCAATCTCTGTGTGCGAAGCACATGTTCATGGAATTCATTATCGTGTATTTAAGATATTTAAAGGCTCTTCATTTAACTTGTTTAAAAGCATTGGCAAATTGACTGAAAGTTCTCTGCCTTCATTTTTTTTAAAAAAATTTTGAAACATGCTAATCACGTCAAATTTTTCCTCCGGTAAAAAAGCTTTTACAATCACTTGAAATTCGGTTTTTTGTTTTATCCCATTCTGGTACAAACACGCACCCAAAAAATAAAAAATAAAAAACTTGTTAAGGATTTTATTACCGCCTTGGGTGTTCATTTGAGGTAAATTTACAGCACAGTGCAATCTCATCAGCGCACGCATTTCGCCTTTGGCGAGGTGCCCTTGTTGAAATTTGGTTAAGGTTCTAACTAGGAGAATTTCTCGCATGGGCTGGCAAATGAATTAGCAGACTTCTTGGCACACCAATTAAGGCTGTCGTGTTGCTCGTATTGGGTCGGATAAGCAGAGATTGCATTTTTTTTCGCCCAATTGTGAGCCTTCTTGGCCAAAACTTAAGTAGATTCCATCTTCAAAAATCTAATAATCCAAATTATGCCATATCATCGGCCTTTTTCTTGGTTTGATTGTTCTCTTTTCTAATGGCCTTAGAACCAGGAGAGAGAGAAGCGCTCTTTTTTTTTTTTTGGGTTCTTTTACTTGTGTTTCTGCCATGGTTTTCATCTACTTCGTTTTTCCAACCTGATGTCTGTCCTCACACAGCATATGCAGCATCTATTGTTCCGTATCATCTTCGTTTGCATACTTCCATTATCTGATACCAAGCTCATCCATTCATGTTGCTGAACTGCCACTAAATTATCTGATAAACAAACTTTGTCCAAGCATGAATGTTAGAAGCAGTATGCTGTTTAGGACAAGAAAAAAAATAGAGTACTTAAAAAAGAGTACTTTTAGCATTCTGTACAATTTCTCTTTAAAGTTGCACGATTCGGGGGCATTAGACTCGGACAGCAACATTGTATTGCAGACAAATTCAGGAGCTTTCAAGGTTTAAAATGTTAAAAGAACTCAGAAAACAAAAATACAAATTTGTGAGTAGGGGGACTCAGTTTATGGGTGGTGATATATCAGGATGGTCGGCAAGGTATTCGCATTGAACACCATTACGCCGAACGAGACCAATATGATTTATTCATCACTGTCCCCAAAAGAGGGAAAAAGTTGAATCTTCTGTAACTCTTTCCCTCAAAAAAAAAAAATCTTCTGCAATATTCCAGAAAAAAAGAAATACTACAAACAGCGACGATACTTTTTGATTAACCATTAATGAAGGAAAAGAAAAAAGAAAAAAAAAATTAAAGAGCTAAATGAAATAATTTCATGGGAGTCAGAAGTGCCATCAGATAGGAGCGAAAGACTTTAGAAATTTTATAATCACGTTAAAAAATGATTTATCATTTGAACTATGCTTCTGATCATCACCTGACTTCACAATCTCCCATGACTCGATTAATTCCTCGTCTAAAACAAGTTTGAAAAAGTAGCCCTGTGTTATACCTTCTGGTTAATGAAGAATCAAACTTAAACGCGGCTAAAGTGAAAATTTTAAAAACAAAACAAAAAAGAGATGAAAAAAAAGGGAATAGAGTAAGAATAAAGTAGTATTGCCTCAGAAGGAAGGCAGTAGAGTGGTGTTGTAATCCCTGATTTCTCATACATAACATCATCACTGTAAATCATCATTGGCATTCTTCTATTACGTTCATCTTAAAAAGAAAAAGAAAGCATTTGGGGAAAACAAAAGGAAACTCCAAACGGAATTTTTTTAAAAAATCACGATAATAAATGAAAAATAATCATCATGTCAACCAAAGTTTTGCTTGAAATGAACAGAGAGAGCACATACTCGAAAAGAAAACCCCAAAATAAAAACAGAACAGAAGAAACGTAGAGGGCCTCATTGAGAAGATTAGATCTGTCAACACAGCATAAATTCAGACATATGCTTGTCAATGTTTTGATGAAATTTAATCATAGGCCCAAACGCAGAAAATAAAATCACAAACAATATGGATGGAGGAAAATTCACATGCTCCAACAGGCTTTCGATTTACCTACAAATACAGAAAAAGGAGAAAAGGAAAGATAGAACTGAATCATAGAACCAGAAGACTAGCCCTACCCCAACCCAACGATCCCCACGAAAATATTAGTGCTGCTGATACTTCTATCGACTCGCCACCTACTTATACACGGAGATATAGCGAGAGGGTTTTGGTGTTTGGGGAGGAACGGACGAGGGAGCTAGGGTTTTCTGCCGCCTTCCCTTCTCCTCGCGCGCCGTATTATTAATTGTGCTGAACTTGGGCTAGTCTTTTGAATCCTTGTATGGGCCATGGGCTTCAAAAGTATAGAGTGGACTCATTTTGGGCCAAATGCGTTGCGGATTTCAACTGCTTAGCAAGGGGTAACAACTTTGACAACTTATGTTAAAACTGAATCTGAATTCTGAAATCTGAATACTGAAACAATTAATTTGCTGAATTTGAAGCACCGAAAAGAATATATTAATGTCTGAATTTGAATGTTGAAATTATTTATACTGTTTGATAAACATCTATAACTGAATGCTTAATAAGTTAAATTGTACAATTTTGCCCTTATATCTTTTCATCCAAAAAAGGAAATAGAACCTATGATTTAATTAACTTAAATTTGTTAGGTATGAAAATGACAATATTTATTTTTAAATCAAATTAATATAAAAAAGATGAAATATATTATATGAGAAGTATGGAGAAGATGTGAAAGTCATTAAAAAGAGATAAAAAAGAAGTAGAAAACCGTTAGATAGAAAATATCAAATTATTTAATTATATAAGGGATTTGAATAGAGAATATCAGATTGTTTAATTAGATAAGAATTTTAAATATAATTAACAAATGAAAGTAGATTTGATAGATAAAATAAGGTAGTTGAAGTAATTCTATTGATTATTATCAGAATTAAACATTCAGTTACGATTTTTGTACTGAAAAAAAATACATACAAGTTTAGCACCGCTTAACAAGCTCAGTAGATGGATTTTTACTTATCAAACACCCAAAACATCTGAATGTCTGAAAAAGTTCAGTTTCACCACTTTTTTATGTTATCAAACAGATCCTTAGGCTCGTCTCCTCAACCTCATAAAATCTTCTTTCCTTCGCTCACAAATTGTAAGCCTTGCGTCTTAAGTCCAATTTAGCTAGTAGTAGGCGTGTAGATGAGATAAAAAGATGATTGAGAGATATATTTACGAAAAAAAATTATTTTTTTTTTCAAAACTAATTGCTTTTCAAACAATGTCTGAATAAATAGCATGTTTATGGTTAGATTCAGGACTTTCCCTTATTTTCCCCTCTTGCTTCCTTGACCCTTGTAACAATTAAACTTTTTCTTTAACACAAAAAAGAAACATAAACTTGTGAGGCTCGCATTTTCCACCATGGCACATACAATGTCTGATGTTTTACCACGCAATATTGCAATTGAACCTTCAAATTGGAATATATATATTAAAGAGAGAAAATATGAATATAAGATTGAATATACAAGTATATATTCGGGCACTACAAAATCTTAACTAATTCGTACCTCCTTTTCTTGGAATTTGGTTCTCTGAATTTGGGTTAACAAAACTTATAAACCAATTATTATCGTTTTATTTGAGTTTGGGTTAACAAAAGACTAGAGACACGTGGCAGCTATACAACAAAGGAACAGAGAGGACAGAGACTATTTTGGGGACAAAGGATCTGAAACCGTTTGAATCAGTCCTACTCGACAATCTATTCGGCAGTTACGAATCAGAGAAAAAGGCGTACCAGTTACCTACTTTTCTCCGTTAGTATAACACGGCACAGAAAGACTCCCCCACCAAAAAAACCCACAAGAAGTTAAAGCAAGTCCCAGATCAGTTTCAGTCCAAATCAAATATCTTCTTTCATGATTTACTTTGATTGGCTTCTGCAATCATCTCAACACATGCATGCACCCTATTTTCCGTTGTGTGGCATCACAGGAAGGAGAAAAACGAGTTGAACTTTCTTCAATCATTTGATCATTGGAGAGGCGTAGGGAGGGCGAGTAGCATACTCCATGCAGCTGTACCCAATTTGAAGGCAAAATAGAAGACCTTATTTCTTGTTGACTGCTTATGGGTTTGGTAATTGCATCTTGTACTCAATTTGGCCGGGAAATATTCGCTTGTTTCTGTCTGCATTGAAGTGGAAAGATACCATTTATAGCTTGGGAAGATGATACACGCCAAGTCTGAATCAGATTTTGCAACCTTATCCCCACCATCCTCCTACCCTGCCTCCCCTAAACCTCCCGTGTACTACGTACAAAGCCCTTCTCTCGATTCCCATGACGATGCGGACAAAGCATCTGCTACCGCTTCTTGTCAAGCCACCCCAGCTTACAATAGTAGTAGTAGCCCAATGGAGTCTCCTCGTACCTCAACCTATGGGAGGCAATCCAATCCCAGATCTTCGTCGGCCAGCAGGGTCTCGGGGAATTGGCGATGGCCGAGGATCAGCAGGAAGAGAAGTGGCAAGGGATGGCAAGAATGCAGTTTAGTTGAAGAGGAGGGTGTTTATGATGGTTCGCATGAAGATGATGAGAAAAGGTCACCTTTATTAGCAGCTTTTGTGGGGGTTGCCGTGGTTTTTACTGCGTGTTGCGTGATCATCTGGGCCGCTAGTAGGCCTTACAGACCTCAAATCACCATGAAGGTATATCCTTTACATAATTCATTAATTTGCTGGACTGATTCATACATAGATAATGCCACTATCAACGAAGATCTTTGCAGAGAAAAATTGGAGCTAACGTTAGTATTAAATTGAAACTTCTCCCTTTCACAATTTTAAGTTTTCATGTCAGAGATTATATCCATTTGACGAACGTGTAACTAGTTGAATTATCAGAGCTTACAGTAATTTACTTGTGCCCTTACAACGTCTGTATCTTGATGAAATACCAGAGCTTGAGAGTACACAACTTTTATCTCGGGCAAGGCTCCGATCGAACTGGTGTTCCAACCAAGTTGCTTACAGTTAACTGTACAGCAACCATGTCCATTCGCAACCCTGCTACATTCTTTGGCATTTATGTCGGATCCAAGATGGTTGATCTAATGTATTTCGAAATGACAGTTGCAACTGGTGAGGTAAGCGTCTCAATACCGTCTCTGCCTGCCTCACAGAACAATGTTTATACCTAAAGTAAGAGCTTCTCTTTTTGGTAAAATTCCTGTTTCATTGACAGTTTGCGTTTCGTTTTTTGAAGTTGAAGAGATATTATCAACCAAGAACAAGTTCAAGGACCATATCAGTGAACCTAGATGGGCGTAGCATTCCTCTCTATGGTGCAGGGGCAACATTAGATGATGATGACACAGAGGTTCCACTGAAGTTGAACATGGAAATCCAATCACTGGGGTATCTAGTTGGTAAGTTGGTCAAGACCAAATACCAAAAGCGCGTCTCTTGTTCCATGGTCTTCAATACTGAACGCATGGAGGAAATCAAATTTCACCCAGATTCTTGTATATTTAATTAACTGCGAACTGCAAAGAAGCCCTACGTTATAATTTTAACCTCCAGTAAAGCTTGTTCTAGCCATAGCTCATGCAATTCTCAAGAATCTGGAAGCAATTATTAAAGTCTTTAACTGTAGTGTTTTATTTGTACATAATTGATCACTATTGTTAGAACATCAATTATTAGTCGTCTCCACAATATAACTACCCTACTGTAAGGTATCAAGCTTGAGGTGTCCAACTTCGGTAAATGAACAGGCAGAAGCAGAAGTGGTAAATTCGCAGAAATACTTACTTGTATGGCACCTGAAATGTTTTGAGCAATTAGCTGCACCCCACCCCCCTCCCCCTCCCTCTCCCCACTCCGGGGGGGAAAAAATCTGGCTAATTACTCAGAATATGGTCGAGAAAAAAAAAATTCGGACATCTACGGCTCTGACAAGGTTCTGTTGCAAATCTATGGCTGTCGGGCTGTGTCAGCCCAGCACCAAAAGTCAGTCAAAAATTTTTTTTTCAGTCTGACACAGCCTGACAACGGAAAAAATCTTTTTTTTTTAAGTTGTTTGCTATCGGCTGACAAGGCTCGGTAGCCAACAACTTGTGCAAAAAAAGCTGGCTGCAGTCCAACAGAGTTGTCAATCCTTGTCAAGTACATTGAAGAACTCTAATCATGTTGCTGTGCACTCAAATTAATGCTTTTTCTACATTACTTTACTCCCTGGTAATGATTTTACATAGAGCAGGGGTAACCTAAGCTAGAAGATGGTATCCAGGCCACGACAGATATTCACATTCTCACTGCAACGATTCCATATGCAAAGAGTGACAAGAAGCTGTTGATTTCCAATCTTTGTCAATTCACTGAATCAACATTAATCAGTTTTTATGCATCGCAATCTACCAGAGAAGATACAGGGTTTGATAACGAAATGACTCCAAATATTTCTCCCAAATTATGTAAGATACAATGATACATAACATCGATGAAGAATCATCCCAATCTCATTTGCTGTTTTGGATACACAAGGCATTTCCAACCCCAGAAAACATGGCATTCAATGAAAAGAATGTATCTTTTATCAGGTACTAATATTACAAACAATCAGCTGTATCTATCAAATGGCCCAGAGATCACGGGCAGGTGACGGGAGTGGGAATCTTCTAAGGCTACATATGGTGCAATGAACACAAAGGAACATGCACAGGAAATTAGTAACAAGGCCTTGATAAATTATACCATCTCTATGAGATATTACTCTTCCTATCGCTAATTAACATTTTCTCTAAAATTGAGAAATACAAAGGAGAACAAATCTGCACCTTCAATTATTAGGCGACTCAGATGGTGTATTATTTGCTGCCAAACTAGTCTCCTGCTTGTCAAAGACACAGCTTTCCGGAAGCACTGTGCTACCTATCCTAGTTAGAGGCCAATATCGAAATATCGATCTCCCTATAATATTCTTTAAGGGCAGGGGACCCCTAAAAAAGGAACATATGTTAAAAACAAGTTTAAAGAATAACAAGCATTAAAATGATATCTACAACTCCACAAAAGAAGGAAATAAAGTTACCAAACATGTGAGTCATAGCTGTTATTTCGATTATCACCCATCACAAAAACTGAGTTCTCGGGTACCCTCTGCACAAAGATTAAACACTATCTTTATGAGAAATTCAAATTCCGAGTCCATGGAATAATCAAAACATCTAAAATCATAATACCAATACATAACAT